TTACAAAAATACATCCCCTCACTATTATCATTGAATAAAAACACTTTTTATTCAATGCTATTATATAAATAAATCATATTACGACGAACTGTAATCTATTGTTCGGAATTTTCAAGCATATGTTTTTTGTATTTAAGGTGAAATCTGGAGGAGCCCTTCTCTTCGGAAAGCACTCCAAATGGTGCAATATTTTTATGTAAACAACCATCATAGTCTCTGAGAAATCGTACATTTTTTCACTAAAAGCAATACTTCATATCCAATTAGAGTATTTTTCATTCTTTTTCAGATATAGAGGCAGGTGCGTCATGGAAATCACATATGCAGCTTCTGGGGGGGTTGGTCATTTGGGGTAAATAAAACAAAAGATATGCACACTGTTACGTTCACTTTGGGCAAACGCGACAAAATTACCTTAGATAAACACAGGGTAAGCTCAGGCAAAGTAGTGGTGGGTCGGGGTGAATATGTGAGGTTCTTATATACAAGCACAACTAAGCAAAAAAAAGGAAACAGTAAAAGTAATCCGGATAGGCGCCACTTAGTCTTCAATAAATGTTAAGAGAGAGGGGATGAATACCTACTAAAAGGTTAAACAAGGCAGACTAGAGATCCTTGTTCTCGTCTTGCTAAACTAAAAGGAATGCAACACTTAAGGGGAAAGAAACATAAACAATATTTGATGTCACAAATGATGGTGGTTTAATGTAATGATCTCAAATTATCACACATAGGACACTGTAATATATAGATCTGGTATGTCAATATTGGAATTTAAAATCATTTTTAGTAAAAAGGGAATCAACACGTAGTCGGGGAGTGTTTATCAAAATAAGCTTCCGCAGAAACAACAGAACTATAATCATTAAGTGGGTTTCAAACAAAGTAATAAGCACAATTCGCTAGTATCGAAAACCAAAATGTAGTCAAACGTTAAAAGAGAAAAACGAAGAAAATAACTAAATTTGCCTTTGAACTTCCGGTCGCAACCTGTTGAGCTCAAGAGGACGCGAAATTGCAAATCTATAAACAGACACACACAAACAAAAAAAATAAGAGGGGTAATGATTCGCGTTGCACAATATATCGCATAAGCAATGGTTAACGTCCGACACGAGGGGTTATTCTTATACGTAGAATTGCAATCAATACTCAAAAAAATCCAAAAATTCAAAGTGACAAAGTTTTAGGAAAAATACTATAAAATGTACAAATAAATTAAGGATCCCTACGTGCGACTGTTTCGGATCACTAAACATCGGACATTTTCATCGTGTTGAGAAATGCGTTTCGATTTGAAACCACCTTGAAGGAAGAAATTTACTTAATTTAATTAATGACAGAAGGAGGTATATGCAAAGTGAGAGGACACAAGCTATCAATTAGATGTACGTTTAGGATTTCGAACTGCTTTATAATTACAGCATTGCTATCTACATACTGATAGTAAATTATAGGTACTGCGGACATCCAAAATTTAACTGCTAGAAATAGTTTGGACGGAATTCTGTATTCGTTTGAATTTTGCTTTTACATCTCCTAAATTGAAACGGAATGTGAACACAACATGTATTCGAATCTTTTTGTTTTGTTAAAATGTCTGCTCTCGTGTCACCTATTTCACACACTTTCTAGAGGTTTAAACTACAATTTCTTCAGGTTTCCTTTCCTTCTCCGCTTCTACACAATCTGCATATTGTTCAGCACACGAGCTACAAACTCAAGGTAAAATAAGGGCCACGCGCTCTGCTTTATTGAAGTAGACACCGTACTTGCTTTAATGAAATTTTCGCTGAAATGTAAACAATTAAAAATTTTATAATATTGAGCCTTTTTTTGATACACGTTGTTCCCCTAAAATAATTCCAGTAGTTTCTTGGAAGCGGCTTTTTTTCATTTTTCAAACACGTACACGTATAGCAATATAAATATTCTCCACTTATCTAGTGTTCGCATGTGATGTTAGACTGATTTATGTGGACGGTTAAGGATCGATCCGAATTCCCGTGTTCCAGTTAAATATTTTCAATTGCCTTTGCATACTTATTTTATAATACGCATCGTATGTACAATTTTGCAGGTGATACGAATTATACATCATTTTCCGGGGTGGATTCGTTATTCCTTTTCCTTTCAGCGAACCTTTTATAGAAACTTTCCCGGTTTTTATGCTTAAAAAATAAGTGGGATTATTCTTTACAAAGCGCTGTGGTCACGCGTACGTAACCGAAAATTTGCTTTTCAGGTAATTCGGCCATGCTATTTCCTGCTTTTCAGGTTCGGATCGGATTTCCTTAGGAAAATATTACCCAAAAATGTGCAATTGAGGGAAAGTTGAAATTGCTTTACATTTCGATACGAGTTTGTATTATTGAGCAAATTACGTAGTGAGAAATTTCAGTATATAAATATTCATGTTTCGTATATAATATTTGCACTACTTGGATATAAAGTATGATGAACGATGTATGTTTGAGCACATCGCCTTCAAAACCCGTTTAAAGCTTTAATATCTTCCTTTAGTCGTTACTTAACTGCTATATAATTCATTACAGATATAAACGCAAACATAAAAACGGATATCACGATTTGCTCTCAACCATGATTAATAATGCAACAAACCTCAGCATTCCCTTATTAATCGGTCCGTTGCATACACAATAATTGTGAGCATATCAGAGTTGAGCCGAACCTCATTTTTTTTATTGAAACGTTGTATTAACATTGTCCACCTATGCTTAGATGTTCAAAAATATACCACTTGTGGTCGTAAAGAAAAACATTGGCAATTTAAAAAAAATTCACAGCTTTCGCAATCCTTGCAACCATCGGAGACATTGGAAATGATAACCGTATAACCTATAAAGCCATAAATAACCCTTATTCATACGGAATAATCTTGCTCCACTCGCTCCCAAGCTCGCTCGTGTCGCAAACATGATCTTTCTGAATAATAAGCGGCGTAACATGCGTGTAATACCATCACGGACCATGTGCGATAAATTATGTGTAATACTATCACGGGCGATGTGCTGTGCGAGAATTTTAAATTCGAATTAACAAAACCCCTGCGCACTGTTAAGTAAGTACCGTATCGACACTATCCGCGACTTTTTCTGAATCTACCGATTGCAGTCGAGTACGGTACAATCAACACTAAACGCGACACCACTATACTATATTTCTATTCGGCAAACCTGGTAAATTCATACCCATACAAAACATAAGCATTTCCAAGGCTAAAAAGTACGCGATACAACCCGGAGTGAAAAACTCCTATTTTGAACATTTCAGGTACAGAAACAGTTGTCCACGGAAGAGGTGGTAAGGCGAGTAAAATATTATGTAATAAGGGCGAGGAATTACGTAAGGAACGGAAGTTGTTCTTGCTAAAAGCTTATTTTTCAAGTAGTTGTTACCTAACAAATGGTTTCAGCTTGCTCAATTTTTTTCGTTCGTATTGACACATCCAGTAAAGTACATCTCTGAATATTATGTGATATTAGTTAGTCCGAAACGTCCCGTATGAACATTACAATTAAGGTTCCTATAAAAGTACATCTATTCCGTTTTATTTTATTTTACAGTCGATTATACATTTTATTTAAAAAAGAACTCATTTTTCAGAAGTGGGATGGGACAAATTTGAAAAATCCTCCGAAGTTGAAAGGAAGCGTCTTTGTGAGAGTCACATCGTCGTTGGCCACGTTAGAGACCAGTGAGCTTAGTTGTGCTACGATTGTCGAGATGCATATTAACCTAAGTAAAGACAAGTTGTTCTGAGGATATACACCCTTAATAATAGTAATGAAAAACGTGCGTAATTCTTGGTGTGTGGACGTGTTATTTTGTGCTCCAATAATCTCATTGCTGATATTCAATAATATGCCCACAATTAATAAATGCTTCATTTGCAATAATGCATTGGACTCTGATAGGGAGATAAAGTGCGACAAATGCGGTAATCATATCCATTCAACCTGCGCGGGTTTATCGCAAAGTGAACTCAAATGTTTCTCCAACAAGAATCGTAAGCTAGCTTATCATTGCGACGAATGCAATAAAGAAAATTCGGAAATAAGTGAAATTAAACAATTAATACTGTCTCTTAAAGCAGAAATTGATGAACTCAAAAGCGCTCGCTCACTGGAATATATTTAGACTCTAAATATAAAAAAAAATGAAACACGTCTCAAAGATTTTTTTAATTTCATCCCTTAAAAGATGTAAAAAAAAAAGAGGTGTGAAAGTTTGTATAAAGAATACCTACAACTGCAGTATGTGTGACGTGTGTGTCACTGAACTCTGAACTCCCCGATAAAGTTGTTTTTTTAAATTATTTTATAGATTAGGGAGAACAATGTCGGTCGCGTCCGCCAGTGTTACGTAGGTAATTAACTGAAAAAATGTCGAAAATTAATTTTCAAAACAATGCAGTTATGATTTCAATTTCATAACATAAAAATTAAAACCTAATTGGCTAATGTTGCACCTTTTGTTTTTCTTCCAAGTGCAGATTATCTACACAAAGGGTCATATTTCACGTTGAACACTTGTAGTTGACCATTACAGTAAAAGTCGAAGGTTGACTCAATGATGAAAGTAAATAAGTTGGTTGTCTGTTGAACTGTATTCCGGTTAAAATGTATTTATGTCTTAAAACGTGGTGGAAAATTTAAATTAAACTCTAAAGTATGAGAGTGAACAACTTACGTACATTTTTCGTAACTTAATTTACGGAAACGCATGTCGTAGATAGGCGTTCCCCGGCGAACTAACGCCATCTGAGAACGTGGAACGCATACCGGCACGCTAATATACGTATGATTTTCGCTCTTTTCGTTCTATACTCTTTGGTTAAACCAAAGAGTACTCTTTGGTTAAACTAACTTTGCCCAACAGTAAAATTAACTTAGAGTGCTATTTTCAGAACGTTCGTGGTTTGCGTACAAAAGTTGACGATTTCAATGCTTCGGTAGTCATGTGTGAATACGACCTGATAGGACTTGTTGAAACGGCCTTAACAAATTCCATTTCCAGTGCTGAATATTTTCCTAACTGCTACACAGTTGAGAGATCTGATCGTCAATACGAGGTAACTAAACAAAAATGGGGAGGAGGTGCGCTTCTCGCTGTTAAAGACTGTACATCTGTTGATCGCATTTTTTTTTTTTTTTTTTTTTAATTTAGCCCTATCGGGATCGATGCCCATGTGGCTAACAGGAATGGAAACAAAATGACAAGGATGACACTCTTCACTCCATGCGGTCTTTCATGGAGACTTTTAATCAGACAAACACAACCGACAGACAACAGACCACGGAACGGTTTAGGATGACGAACAGAAGTATGTTATGACAGAGGTATTCTTCAATGAATGATTTTATTTATTTAAATTTGAATTTTAGCTTCCATCAAAAATTGCACCAAGGCATCGTAGATTTTTTTGTTATTTGAAGCTAATAGGGTGAACATATTGGTTGGTAATTCCATATTATGACAGCGTATTTCTTTAAGTAATTTGTCAGTGAAATTAGCGTTATTCACACAACCAAGGAAAATATGATTAAGGTCGCCTTGTTCTCCACATACGCAACTGGGAGTATCTGTCAATCCCATTTTATGTAAATGAAATGAATATTGCCCGTGACCAAATTTTAGTCGAGCTATTGTGGTCGCATACCACCTACTCACAGTAACGTTCCTCGACCAGTGAGTTCGAATCAACTGAGGGAGGATTGTCGCATATTGCGTGCTTTTCTCCGAGTTGGAGTCTTCCCAAAGATTTTGCCATTTTGTAAACAAAATTTGGTGCTTAAAATAGGTTACGGCATCACTCGGTGTTATTATTTTATTATATGGTGTTCCCTCTTGTATAGCCCTTTTTGCTAACAAGAGGGAACATGTTGATCGCATTGATATGTCAGAATTTTATGCAATTGTTCCATCAATTGATATGTTGGGGTGTAAATGTTGTTTTGATTCGCATACAGTGTATGTTTTTGTTATATATATTCCGCCCAATACAACACTGAATAACATTACTAAGTGTACCCATTATCTTGAACAAGTGTGTAGTGTCTTAGATAAAAACATAGTAATCATGGGAGACTTCAACATCCCAAGTTTCAGTAACGATGGTTATGATGATAGTAAATCAGAATCGATATATAATCTAACCGATCTACTCAATCTAAAACAATATAACATTGTTACAAATATAGATAAGAGACTGTTGGATCTTGTTTTATCGGATATTCATACAAAAGTAACGCGTGACTTGGTGCCATTACTTAAAGAAGATGTTTACCATCCCGCCCTGCGTTTTACTTTGCAGCTGAAATATGCTTCTGGAAATAAATTCCCTCTTAATATAAATAATCCTAGCTATAATTTCTCAAAAGCAGACTTTCTAGGTCTTTATAATGCGCTGCTTAGCGTTAATTGGTCATTCCTTCATAATTATACGGATGTTAACCTAACTACCACAGAGTTTTACAATGTCCTTTATCATTTATTTAATCTCCATGTACCTTTACGGAAGAAAAACGCCAGGACGTATCCAGTGTGGATGACTGGTGCTACAATACGTAACATAAAACTTAAAAATTATTACTTTCGTAAATATAAAAAAATAAGTACGCTAATCACTACGAAAAGTTTTCGCAGCTTAGGCTACTTATCAAAAAACAAACTAAATTGGAGTATCTCAATTACGTGCACAGTATTGAAAGGTCCATGAACACTGACATTAACAAATTTTGGTCATTCGTGCGTCAAAAAAAGGGTTGCACAAGGATACCCAACAAAATGTATTATAACGATGTGTGCTATGATTCTCCAGAAAAAATTGTCAACGCATTTGCTATGTATTTTGGCAGTGTTTACCTATCTGATGATGGTTACAATGATAGTGCAAACAAGGATAATGAATTTAACAATTTGCCGTGCATTAACATCGGTAGTGTTTTAGAATCGCAAGTTATCCAGGCAATAAGCAAACTACCTAACAAATTCACGGCTGGTCCCGATCTAGTGCCAAGTTTCCTGATAAAGGATTGTAGAGGGGTGCTGGTTCAACCATTACTATTACTTTTTAACCTATCTCTATGAACTAATACGTTTCCTGACTTGTGGAAAAAGGCGCGCATTTGTCCCGTTTTAAAATCTGGTGACTTGTCGCAAATTAACAACTATCGGCCTATCAGCATACTGTCTAATTTTGCGAAGGTGTTTGAAATTGTAATTTATGCTTGCGTTTATCCTCAAGTTAATAAATACAGTGCGTGCTATGTATAACGTGAAGTATATCCTACCCGTGACACCACTCCGCGACACGGACAGCGTTCGCTTAAGTTATTAGGATTTCGCGATACCAGCATGGCTTTATGGGTAATCGGTCTACTGTGACCAATCTGACATGTTTTACACAATATGTGTCTGAAGTTGTGGATAATCAAGGCCAAGTAGATACTATCTATACTGATTTTGCCAAGGCCTTTGACCGTATTCATCATTCCATAATAATTAATAAACTAAGAGACTTTGGTTTTCATGAATCGATGCTATCTTTCTTACATTCTTACCTGCTTAACAGAGTGCAATATGTGGCATTCAACAACTATAATTCTGAACTGTTTTCTGCATCCTCAGGTGTGCCCCAGGGGTTTAACCTTGGGCCACTACTGTTCGTCCTCTTTATAAATGACCTACCAACTCAAATATCGTGTACACATCACGTTTATGCCGATGATTTGAAAATTTTTTATGGTATTAATGGGATTGGTGACTGTGAATATTTACAAAGCCAATTACGGATCGTTCAAGATTGGTGTGATGCTAACTCTCTTCATTTAAATACATCGAAATGCAAGGTGGTCACATATACAAGAAAATTGCAACCCATTACTTACTTGTACAGATGTGGAGATACTGTTCTTAATCGTGATATTGATATTGATAAAGTCGTGCAAAAATTTACTGACGACATCACATCTAAGAGACGATGACGAAAAGGTTGTAAATAAATGGAATCAAATTTTTTCTATTTGTCATTCTTACCTAGGTAATGAAATCACATTAGTGTTACGTGTTAGTTTAGGGTTTGTTATTAGGTACATATCATTTAGTATGACACAATTAAAAAGTTACCTGGGGTTGTAAGTATATAAGGCGATGTTCTGTATCTAAAATTTTTTTACACATAGCTATTTAGGATTATGGTTTGGTCTCTTTTTGAGTTTCACATTCATTGATTTATGTAATTACTAATTATTTGTATCAATTGTATTGGCAAAACTTTGGTATACCCGTGTCGAGAACGTACCTATAAGAGCGAAATGGATATGGAGCTACAGGAAATGTAGAGATGGATTGTATTCACCGGAGTGAAAGCCTGTCCCTTGTACGTGAGTAAAAGTTCGTTGTTTTACTTTTAATTACATATTTTGGTTACTATTGCAGATAAAATTATAATTCTCAATGCAATGTAAAGATAAACGATGAGCGAAACTTTTTTTAAGAGTAAAACTTTTTGATTTAGGCTTCCGTTTATTAAATAATACGATGTAAACGCAAAAGTTGCTCAATATTTGTCAAATTTTTAGGGATATCGAACTGAGGTAATCGCGTTGGAAGTATAATTCTTCCGTAAGACCATTTATTCAATGGTAGGACTCAATGTAATTGGAAACGTTTGATAATTTCTAATTACTTTCACTATACAAAGAACATTTTGATTTATATACGAAAAAATTCAATATTTTTAGCGCATTTCCACAAAAATAAAAAAAAATGCGCTATTGTGGCCACTTTGTCCGTCCGTCCGTCGGTCCGGCTGTCCGTCCGTCCGTCCGGCTGTCCGTCCGTCCGTCCGTCCGTCCGCTCGTTTTGCGACGCTACTAGTTCTTTATCTTAAGAACTATTGTTCTACTTTTTTCGCTATTTGGTTCGTTATGGTGTCGAGTCTTGTACCAAGGAAGGAATTTTTTCTGTACCGCTTACAAAAAAAGTTATTGTAAAAAAACAAAAAAACCGTTTTTTACATGTTCCATAATTTTACACTTTTGCCGTTTATTAACGATCCTAGAGATCGTTTATAATTTTGCATTGCTATCTGTCGTCTGCCTGTTAGTCTGTCCGTCTGTTCCTTTGTCTGTCTGTCCATCTATCTGTCCGTGTGAACGATAACTTTGTTTAGAAATGTTCGATCGCTTTTACATCTCCGTTAGTTATGAACGGAATTGCATGAAATTCAATATGGGCATAGCTTTAGCCATATAATACGCAACGCCAAAAGTTGAATCGAATCGATTCAAAATTCACAGTGCCCTTTTCGCATCTCGACCATTTATAAACCGAATTGCAAACTTTTTTACTTATAAAAATATTTGAATGAAATTTGATACATAGGCACTTGAATAAAGGAAAATCAAACGCCAATTTCAAAATTTGGTTTTGCGCATGCGCAGTGCCAACTTTTTTATTTATGGAAGAATTTAAACGAAATTTGATACATAGGCACTTGGGATAAAGGAAAATCAAACGCCAATTTCAAAATTTGGTTTTGCGCATGCGCAGTGCCAACTTTTTTATTTATGGAAGAATTTAAACGAAATTTGATACATAGGCACTTGGGATAAAGGAAAATCAAACGCCAATTTCAAAATTTGGTTTTGCGCATGCGCAGTGCCAACTTTTTTATTTATGGAAGAATTTAAACGAAATTTGATACATAGGCACTTGGGATAAAGGAAAATCATTTCATTTTCATTTCATTTAGCACCGTTAAAAAGCTTAGCCAAGATCTTAAAAACCTTTACCACCTCCAAAAAATGTATCCCGCGCTTAAAAAACTTTATTTAACACACAAATGTAAATACCGGCAATACATTATGAATTGTAAGAAATCGTTTTATGGTAACTTAATCAAATCCTCCAACAATAAAAATAAAACAGTATGGAGCCTTATATCTATACTTAACAATAATGAAAAGTCGCACAAAAATATCACTCTTAAAAATTCAGAAACAATCATTGACGATCCTCAAACAATTGCAAATACTTTTAATGAGAATTTTATTAATGGCCCTCAAAATATTCAACGTTCTATAAAAAGAAACATTTATTCGACTAGCAACTTTGAGTCTAATATGACTATTCGCGAAAGTATGTGTGCACTGCCTTTTAGTGAAACGGAATTATTAAATTGTTTTAAAAAAAGCATAAAAAATAAACATTCCTCGGGCCCCGATGATACCTAATTCTTTGCTTAGGTCAAGTTTGCATATTATAATAAAACCTGTCACACATTTAGTCAATATGTCTTTTTCAAACGGTGTCTTCCCGAAAGAACTTAAGCTGTCAACTGTGCATCCCGTTCACAAAAAAGGTTGCTCTCGAGATTGCTCGAATTACAGACCAATTTCTGTTAGCTCGGCGCTGTCAAAAGTTTTTGAATACGCCATGTTAGAGAGGCTAAATAGTCACCTTGTTAAATATAACATTGTAAGTAATAAACAACACGGGTTCTGCAATGGGAAATCGACAATTACTGCCATTAACTCCTTTGTTAACGACATCATTTCACTTCTTGATAAAAAACAGAATGTCCTTGCTATATTTTGTGACCTCAGCAGGGCTTTTGATACTGTTGATCACTTGTTACTGTTGGACAAATTAAATACTTACGGTATCAGAGGCGTTGTTGCCAATTGGTTTTCATCATATCTCTCTGGAAGGTGTCAACAAGTAGAAATTAAATTCAAAACCGGTTCCACTATTGCAAAATTTTTATCAACAGCTTTGCCTGTTAATATGGGGGTTCCACAAGGATCTGTTTTAGGACCTATTTTATTTTTATTATTTATTAATGATATTGTCATGTTCTTAAATTGCTTGGTTTTATATGCGGATGATAGGACGGCATTAATATCCGGAAAGAAGCAAAAAATATATATCCAAAAGCTGTTGAGATTCTAAATAAGCTAAGTAATTGGTTTAATTTTAACAAATTATTCTTAAATCACGATAAAACATTTTT